GGGCAAGAAGTCTTAAGTGTCTTACAGAGAAATGGATCACATTTCTATAGCTGTCTCATGTGAGTTCATTGTGTGTCGCAATTTCAATGCTGGATACACTATATTCAGAAATAGGAAGTCAAAAAAGGGAAGTTTAAAATTAGAGTTGAAATTATGTTAACAGAGCCTTGCAATAATTTATTTCTCCCTGGGAAGAGTGCTTTTAGCCTTTGTTATCTGGTACCATATAGTAGCGGTATGTGTCTCAGCTGCTATGTTTTCGTAGCAGTTTCACAAGGGTGTACTGATGCATTTCCATTTTGTTTACAAATATTTGCTGCTGTGGCAGATACTTCTAGAACCTTTGAGGAGGAAAAAAAAAAAGACACTTGCCACCTTTTCTTGGCTAAATCCCATAAGGAAACAAAGTACAAATTGTCAAGAAAACATAATAGATTTAATAATAGGAAATACATATTTTAACATGAGTAAAAAGTGAGGCAAGAAAGTAGCAGTGAATCCATGGCAGGGTCAAGAATTACAGTATATCCAAGTGCAACAACTGGATGGAATACTACACCTAAACACAAATGAAGGGAATGACAGGATAGGAAAAAGTGGTTTGTATCCTTTAACATTAGAAAAGGAGTACCAGTTGGTTTGTTTATCAACGGTACATATGCAAAAACACCAACAGGAATGAAGCAAAGACAGACCCAACCTTCTCAAAGGACAAGAGTAACCTTCCACAGGTAAATGGCTTCTTGCTTAAACACTAACAATGCTTTTATTCAAGAATTTGAAAACCCCAACTGGCAGGATGATGTAATAGTAAAGCTAACATTTTCTTCTGCGATTTTTCTTTTAATCCATTCTAGAATAGGAGCAATTTCAGTATATACTGTACCAATTTTTTAGGGGGATAAGTTCCACCTACTCCCTCAATTTCCCATGTAAAGTAGGAAGCACCAAATAACTCTTAGCAACTTTTGTCAGCATTTTAAAATAGCTGTATACATCACGTCCACTCTGACAATACTACACTAGAAATTCAGGGCTTGGGGGTGTGGTAAAGCAGACTCTAGATTCTGTTTGACATCTCAGAGATGAAGCCCATCAATACACTTTAGTTTCAGGAAATATTCTTATATCCCTTGAAAGATTTGTTATCTGACACTTTATGGATAAAGCTTTGAAAGATTAAACAAGCATTACAAGTCAAGCATTTTCTATTCTGATTGACCAAGAAAAGGCTCACATTCAAATTGCCAAGGCCCTCAGAAGGGTTTTTTTTTTTTTTTTTTTAAAAAAAAACAGGCATGTGTGTCAGAAGGCCTAAAAATTATAGAGAAATGTTTTAGCACATGAATTCTTACATGAGAAACAAAGATGTGGTTTCAAGTTTGTTTCTTCTCACAAGTTGGAGCCATATGACAAGGCAGTCCTTCTCCGAAAGGGCTCAGCTGACTTTTTTTGTTTTAAATACTAAAATCCTATATTGCTATCTTAAATTGATAATTCACACCAATACCTTATTTCTATACATCAATCACCTGTTGCCTAACGTTACTAGGGTTGTGATCTGAACATTAGTGTATCAGTTTTCTTCTGAGAATTTTGTGCAGATCTTTTAGTAATTAAGTTTCATGCACACAATTCTCGTGCGCTGAGGAACTGACTAGTTGCATACAAATACACTCTCACATTGCTGTAAAACTACTTCCTGCAAAAAGTTAATAAAGTTCATCCTTACCTCTTGCCATGAGCAGATGAACCTCTTTTTAGAGATTTCAAGCGTTCAAAAGATACCTGAAGGCATTTTTTGTTTTTCAAGGAAAATGAATAGGCGGTATAGAAGTTTATATCAGTGAATAACTCAGATTCTTCCCTTGTCCAACACTTCTGCTATATTTGATTCTCCCTCCCTCCACCCTTCTATTTAGCTATTGCTAGTCATAAACGAGGCTTAATACAGGGTGGGCAACAACTCAGTTGGACAACTTCTGTCCTGTAAATCATCAATTCTGAAGATAGTCTACGCAGATTGCTGATACCGCACACCACAGACACCACCCCATCCTTAATAAACACTAAGGACAGTTTCACAAGGAGGGAAGCCTTTCAAACATCACTGAAAAAGCTTCAAATGTTAAGGCAAAGCAAAACGTTAAAGGGACAGCTTAGGATTAACATAAAATGCTTGTTGAGGCCAATATTTAACCATGTAAGATATGCAACCTGAATTCGTTCTTGATAATTAAAATGAAGCTTTAACCACCTATGAATGAAGACAACTCCTAATGAATTCCACACCTCTTGACCAGGTTAAAGGATTAGACTTCCAGAACAGTTAAGCAGGCATGTCTCTGTTCCTGTTACTCTCTTCCCAAACATGTAAATATTCTTTCTTGAACAGGGTGGTAACATTATGCTTCTATTACATACGCTGAACTTGCAATCAGAAGATTCAAATCTGCATTCGATGCCCCTCTACACTATTAACTGGCTGATCCTGTAGCATTTAAAGGAAGGGTCTCACTGATGTCAGCATTCAGGAATTTAAAGTGCATTGATTTGATGATTTGTGTTGTCTTTCAGTATTGATTGAATAATACAAAAGCAGAAGTCTCTACCTTCTTGGCAACAGCAAAAGCCATTAGAGTCTCTCAGAAGTTTTCAAAGCACCTATGGTGATCTCCATTAATTTGGCCACTAAATACTTCTGCTGTTTGTTAAATTTCAGCTTGCAGATCTTACTTATGTAGACACTTAGTATGCCACTTTTCAGTATGCATATAAAATATACTACAAAACTACCTACAGCACAGATCAAGAACCTGACAAGTCAGCTAATATACTGTTGTAATTTAGAAGGTTAGATGAAGATGCCCTCCAAAACTTGGGGAGCACGCTAAGTAGCTCCAAAGCCTAAGAACTAAACATTTGTCAAATGATGTCTTTGTACAAATCTGTAACTTCTGTGGGGGAAAAGTCAGTCTGGTTTACAACCTGAAATAGTCATATTTTGTCAGTTATAAAAATGCTCCGGGGCAATAAAATTACACACACCTTGCTACTGTTCTGCATATAGGATACTTTTCCTTTCTAAGTATGATTTGCAGCGATCAATTCCCTTTAAGAATATCTGAAAATCTAGTTTCCAGAATGAACTCCATTCATTAAACAAAAAGATATACTGGAACAAAATGCAAGTCCTGAGCTTTTCCAATAGCTTCTTAATAGAAAAAAAGTAAAGAGTTAGCTGAAATGGTTGATAATCAGCACTCCAAACACTCAAAGGCTAATCAATCTCCTAATACAAAAGCTATTTTGGGACAAAATATGATCAGTTTTAGCAGGCCTAGTGCAACATAAAAGTGGATGGCCTAATTAATATAGAATTAATTAACATCGAATAAATCCTTTTTCTCTAACAAAAATGAAACAATGAACAACCTGCATGTCTCATCCAGGGAAGATTGCATTTCAGCTTTCAGTTAGGACCAACTGATCAATAAACTATTATCTTGGCTGGAGGAAAAAAAAAAAAAACAACATACACAAAACCTTACATCAACAGTCTACCGTTTTAAATAGGCATGTCCTTAAACACCTCAATTATTTGTTAAACATTAGTCTGGACAATTTGAAACACTGGTCATTTCCATGTTTTCATTAACTGGAGCAAGTCAAGATCAGAACTGCAAAAAGATATGAAGAACGCAGGCATTCCATCCAAATGGGTAACAAAACAAAGGAGTTCAAGGCATCAATATTTAGTCAACATATGAGAAGGACCAGATTTGCCTTGTGTCTGGACACTTTTTAAGCATTTTTTTTTTTAAACAAGTCTATTTCTAGTGTATATTAAACAAATGAGGACAGATTAGGAAGAAATTTAAAAGCAGCACTGGAACAGGCTGCCCAGAGAGGTTGTGGAGTGCCCTTCCTTGGAGATATTCAAAACCATCTGGACATAATCCTGGGCAACGTGCTCTAGCAGACCCTGCTTGAGCAGGGAGTTGGACTAAATGTTCTCCCTTTCAACCTCAACCATTCTGTGATTTCCTAAGAGATGGGTATCTCCCCCCTGAGAGAGACAACTTCAAAAATCTCAATACTAGCCTAGCTCTCAGTCTAGCCTAATGTCAAAGGCTTCCTTCTCCAGTCAATGCAAGATTGAACAAATACTATTAAACCAATTATTCCTCTCACTGGAAAGCAGACTTGAAAGTCCATTTTTATCCCATGCTAATAGACAACAATGATAATTTCCAGACAAAGTTTGAATTTCCTTGTTCTACTAATCTGCATGAAAAATATTTTTGATACCAGACTTTCCTTCTCCGACTACGATACTTCCAAGTTTAATAAATCTGGAGATTTTCTTGCTAACAAGCTCTATTAAACACAGTATTTTCTGTATCATAGTTAAGACACTAAAGCGCTCAGTTTTTCAGTACAGAATAGACTTCTGAAGTGGTGAACAGCAATGGCATGCTGGAGTAAAAAAAAAAAAGACAGAATGTAACTACTGAAAGTTAAGCAGTAGCAAGGTCATAGTAGTTGTAGAGAACGAACTGTAAGTACATACAGAATCTCTTTTTATAAACTTGCCCAAAACACAGTAACTTGTAAGTTACAGAAAGGAGTTAGAGATCTGAAGTGATGACACAGGATTATGAAGTTATCATGGTATGGTCTGAATCTGTCAAGTGCACACAAACCACCACTCCAAAATAATCTTCTGTTATTTTGAAAGAAATTCTGCTTTACAATACAGAAGTGTCTCAAGAGTACAGCATTTGAGATCTATTTTAAACTAGCTTCAAAAATGTTTTTAAACCTAGTTTAGTAAGTAGACGACCATGCATTTTTTAAAAACTTGCCAGAAAGAGGAAGTGGGACTTTTTAAAGAAATTAGAGATTTTCATGACTGCCACTGTGCAAGTTGCTCAAATAATTACGAATATTATGCATTCAATTGCTAATCTACATTTTTAACTTAAAAATGATAGGTTCAAGAACAAGCTTATTCTATTTATTAGTTATACTTCCACTAAATATTTTGTAAGAGTACCAAATTTTTCTGTTCATAATTTATTTGGTTCAAATAACACCAAAAAAATTGTATAACAGGCTGAATACTGAACATAAATCTCTCCTATAAGATGCTTTGTTAAGGCCCAGTGTTTCCAAAGGGGCTTCAAACAGCCTTTACTTGAAGGTATGTTTCTTAGGCATTCTATATGTATGAAGCCTGTATAACTGTGGCAAAGAAAGGGCATACTTGACTTTGCAGCTGTAAGTAAAAGGCATAATGAAAAATGTAGTCACCAAATTCCATTGAAGTGTACGGATCTACTCAAAATCTCTCACTGTAATGGTTTACTGTTTTGCTCCAGAATAGCTCTACAAGAATTTTGAATAACACAAACTAGTCTGAAGTAGAAGTTCTTTCATTCTTTGACCTGTCCTTCAGAGAAATACTTGAGATGACAGAAAGCCAAACCACAAACAGAACAAGCATCATCAACATGAGTTCATTTTGATACTAAAGCTAAACAGTATGTTTTAGTATATACTTGAGTTTAGCAAGCTCTTTCTTCAAAAGTATGAAATTCCTCACTAGTGCTGGTAGGTGAAAAAAAAAATAAATAAAATAGCACAGTAAGATATGGTCAATCTATAGTTTAATTGAAAGCGTACTAAAAACAGCACAGTATAGGCAAAAAGCTGATTTGCTAAAAAATCACTCACAGATGAAAAAGCCCAGGAATCAACAGGTAACGATCTACATTACCGTATGACTTCAGTTTAGTTCTTATTTGTATTTTTGCACCCAAAACAGGAAAGACTTGGTGCACCACAGATGAATACTTGCTCCGGCAGGCCTCACACTGCACCAACAGTAGCCTCTATTGGCCTTTTCAAATGTGATCTAAAGAATGAATTTCACCCCGCCTCTGGGTGAAGTCACTGACAGAGATAAGACGTAATATGCAGGGGAAAAAAAAAAAAAAAATTGGTGGTGAACCTCAGGAGTTTATCCATAGGTGTGGAATGGAAGGAGTGAATAAAACTGAATTATTTTACTGTTTTTACATAATTTATATTTTAAACATTGGTCTCATAAATATAATATGAACACTTTACACATGCCAAGCAGTTAAAAGCTTTCCCCCAAACCTTTTAAGTCTTACCAGAACTATTGACAGCATCTGTTTTTAGTCAGTAACCACTTAATTTAGTCAGAATTACAGCTAGGTTTTCTTCTACCAACATCTTAATATTAAAAAAAGCTTGTAAAAACAGAAAGATGCCTAAAGCATATCAGTTTGTCTTAAAGTGATTAGAGTCAGCATGAGAAAAAGATTGTCCGTGGTTTAAAATCTGTTGCTTGTGTTCCCCCTGCCCCACATAGTATCTTTAAATAAAAAGTGCAAATGGGATTTGGGGACTGGATGGACTGATTTGCTCATTATCTGTCTTCAGTTGCTTATTTTGTAGCCACCTCAAACTAACTGTTCCATTATACTTTGGATTAGCTACAATTACATTTAAAATAAGGCTCACTGAAGAAAAGGAAGAAATGCCATCTGACTAACTTTTGAATTTCCACCCCCAAGTCCGGCAAAAGTGCTCATTTCCCTTTTTACAAAAAAACAAAATCTTGATTACAAAACTATTACACACATCAGTTCTGCCATCCATATAGTCACCTTCTTTTCAAGCAAGGCCAAAAGAGTGATGATGGATTCCCTTTGAATACAAGGGATACTACACATTTTGTAAGTAAACAGGCTGACATTATGATTGCAGTCTTTTCTGCGAGCACACAGATGTCAGATGAACTGGCCCATTTTTGTGGGACCTTGGGCGTATGAACACCAGCAGATAAAGATCTAAGACTGATAACATAAACCCAACATGAACTATCAACTTCCAAGACCACCTACTGTATAAACAAGTCTGATTTTCTAAGGGATCAGTCAACAGCAGCTGCGCTTTGTCACCGATGGCTGTCTTCTAAGTTTGAAGCCCTTACCACTAGAAGGGGGGTTGGTGTCAGTTGATGGAATTCTACGACCTACAAGGAGGCAGAAAAAACATTTATAGCAAGCATTATACATGAAACTAATTATAGGCATCCAATATCTGTTTTGTATACAAAAATGTGTATTTGACAAATCATACATCATTAATGATGACATTCCTGCATAACAGAAGGATAACAGCTAACAGTCTGTACTATGTCTTTAAGAGATACAGTTCCAGGGGAGCAGGAGTTAAGGTGGTTCAAGCTAATTTTGCACCTGAAGTGTAAACTTTAGGCTAATCTAGGCTTGGGAGACCTAAGCTATAGCAGCCTCCAGGAATATACTCTGCAGGATGCAATACCACCTAGAAGCTCTTCATCCAGAGCTGTAACAGCACATTCCTTGCATCAGGGTTAGCACAAAGATACAAACTCGTAAGGATAGTTGCTTTGGTCATCTGACCAGCCTCAAGTGGACAATTCCTGGTTGACTTTTCCTTTTTGAAGGCAATAGGGTTTTAGGGAATTTTTTCAGTTTAATCAAGATCAGTTTCAGAATTGCTTAGAGCAACTATTAAGTCAGTAAATCAGGAAGCTAAGCTACAGCATATACTTTTTATATCAGCTTCAACATATTCAGCTGTTCACAAGCACCCTATTTTTCTTTTAGTCAAATGTTTGCAGAGCTATTCAAAGTTAAGCAGATGTAGTGCATATGTATATACATATATGCACACATGGATTGCTGTTTGTCTTGTTTTTAGAATCCAGTTGACACATCTGCACATTGGTACTGTTGCCTAAAACAAACCCTACAAATAATATTGTATGGAATTGGCTTTGGAATACTGCCTGCTTTTCATTCATTCAAAACTAGATTTGTTTTTTTCCCCCATCCCTACGAATGAGGCAGAAAAGATTTGTGATTTAATTGAAAAACAAGAGTATCAACCCCGCCCCCCCAAACCTAGTGGAAAATTCACATACAATAGCTACTGTTTCCCAGAGAACAACCTTGCATTTTTGAATTCTTATGTTTTTCAAAAAGGTATTGCCCTAAACCAAGTACAAACACTAAGAGCGAGATTTTAATTCCTTTTCTCAGATGTATACGGTTCGGGTCTTCTCCAGTTTTCTTTCCTTTCCCTTCTGCAAGCTTAGAAGTACTAATTGAAACAGTCAATAACAGACATATAGTAAGATGACACTGACTTCTGCCATCACTGCACTTCTCGCTATTTATCCAACAGCATCATAGCGGGCTTAAAATTCCTTGAAGAAACCTTTAGAGGTCATTGGATGACCAAAAATCAGGAGAGCCTATTTTGCAATTTTGAATTCATAATTGGTTGCAATAAATTCAAGTCAGTATACTCTTGCCTAAATAGCACAAAAAATAGTAAATACACTTCTGCTTGAAATTTTCAGAAGTAAACATATCAACTGCTTGAGTACTTACTAATTTCTATAAAGAGTTCATTAATGTTTATTGCATTTTTCGCACTTGTTTCTACAAATATTGCATGGATGGAATCTGCATAGTCTTTAGCATCTTTTTCCATGACTTCTCTGAAAAAAACCAGAAAGAAAAACAGTGAATGCAGAAAAAACATTATTCAAGTTTTGAGGGATAGCTTAGCCTTAAGTGGCTCACTAAACGACAATTCTGTATTACCTGTTTGGCATCGCACTGCTCTCTCATCCTGAGGTTGATGCTCATCTTTTACTCTATGACATTATTGCTTGGCTCTCTCCCCTCCCTCAGCATCAGAGTGTGCTTCAGCATCACTGAAGCACAATCATAACAAACTAAACAAGACCTTAATCCACCTGAAAACATTACAGTGGAGTTTGTTTCTTGAGAGCTAGCGTCTGCAATCAGTCATTAAAGGGTTGCTTTATTCCTCATACGCACAAGTAGTAAGTTAAATCTGTTGAAAGATCCTCAGCGTTACTTCCAGCATTCATCTAACGTAGTGGATTTCCTACAGCTGCTTACAAAAATCAGGTATCTCACAATATTATACAGATCCATTTGCACAGCATTTACTTTACAGAAGCATGGAAATAGCTATAAACATATTCAAACTGCACATACAAGAGAGCCAAGAAGTGAAAAAAATTATTTGACGCCTCCAGATAGGCAAGTTGATAATGATGGTACATTTCCTTAAACAACAGGAAAAATCCCAGACACCAATAGGTGAGAAGGGCACTGAAATACACCCTATGTCACATTATATGTAATTTCTAGCATACATATGCTGCTTTCAGTAACAAGGGACTTAGGTTATCAAGACAGGCGAAAGCACAGACTTTGGATCAGTGACAAATGTGCATCTGACCGAAGTACAAGGGATCTTGCTCACTAGCTTGAAGGGCATCAGAAATCACAAACATCATTGCTTCCTAAGGACCAAGAAGTAAGTATTGCCTGTCTTAGATTTGTCTTCTAAGTAATTTTATACTAACTCAGTTTGAGACTTGCCATTTCTGACAAAGTTATTGGAACTTACTAGATAACTGAAATATATTAAGGATTCGTAGAACTAGAACAAGAATCAACTTTGCAGTGGCTCTTTAAACACATAACCACGTTTCCTTTGAGACTCCAGCTGTGATACCTTTTTCAAGGAAGTCTGAAAACAAGAGTCCACAGGCTACATGAAGTTTGCACATACCTTCTTTCTGACTTTTGACTTATTTAACCAGGGCATCAATAAAAAAAAGGCGGGGGCGAGGGGGATGGACTTTTTTGTTTTTAAATGCATGCCTCCTTGAAAGTTTGGCTGTCCATAAAGTTTCTTCTCAAGAACTTTTCCCATTCCCTGCAACCATTTCAACCACAGCCAATTCCACCACAATATTTAAGCAGGGGAGGAAGGCACCTGAACAAGCAAATCAAAAAAACCTGTACGATGCTTTCCAACAGGTTTAATGTTATTCCTAACAAAATGAAGTGCTACAGACTGACACGGGTATGTCTTACAAAATGAGGTAAACAGCTTGCATTACACTGTATTTTCACAGGCAGTTTAAGCTTGTGTACCTTGGCTCTGCCTGCAGAAAAGGTGCTCCTGTCTGCTTGTAAACTGCTCATTCCTATCCCTGCTACCTCACCTCTGTCATGCCAACAAGCGTTCATATTGTGAGCAAGATAAATAACCTTGGATAAGTTTCCCTATCTTTAGGAACGTTTGGATCTATTTTACAGCCTGATTTACTGTGCAGTCGTATGTATACTCATATCAACACAGAGGAGGAGGTGGGCAAAAAAAGATCAAGGGCAAAATAAACAAATCATCTGGCAGCAGAACAAGCTTAAACCTCCTGTGAAACTACAACGTTAACGTAAAATAGCTTAAACCGCTCTGTGCTTTGCAGTGTTTAACAAATCCCTGCTCTTTCTGAAATCTAAAAACATTTAGCACCATGAGCTTATCTTCTGAAGTGAAACCTGCATTGAACTGTCAACAATTATTTACCTTACATCATTAAGGTCACACTTATTTCCTGCAATAGCAACAACAATGTTTGGAGGTCCGTGTTGTCGAAGTTCTTTCACCCAGTTCTTTAATGTTGAGAAAGTTTCCTGGTGGAAGAAAGCAGAAGGAATTAGGCCTGGTCCATTAGACATGGAAAGCAGAATTTGTACTGCCAGATCAAAATCCACTTCTGTACCTCTTTTGTGATGTCATAAACTATAATGGCTGCAGCTGATCCTCTGTAGTACATTGGGGCTAAAGCACGGAACTGGAAGACAGACAGACCACATATTATGATCCCGACCTTTCACTGACTTCTGTGATTTACTTATTAATGTTAAAGAAAACTAGCTTTAAAGTTCACATTAGTGGAAAACGTATATTTACAGCTACAGACAGGCTGCACAGTAGAGTACACAAACTTCCAGGAAAGTATTGTTTTTCAAAGGCCAATGAACAAATACTTTTGAGATGAGCAGCACACCTACCACAAAAAACAAGAAATCAAGTTCGACCTTATTTTGACTAGATTAAAATCTATCATTTAAAAGACTGCAGATTATATATAGACATAAACCCACAGGATATATGCGTAATCTTTAACATCAAGCAAGGGGAAAGACGTCAAAATTGAACTCACTTCTTTCTCTTTGAGATGGTGGTGTTTTTGGACAAAAAGTAATTTAAAAAACATTAGCATATATTACTACTGATCTGAAATGTTCACAAGTCAACGTCAACCTCCAGCCCCACAGAACAACGGGTAAGTGATGCTAATTTAAATTTAAATGTTGGATATGCTGGCTTCTCCTTAATGTAACTTTTGGCTTTAGGGATTTTGCTTACGATTTTCTCCACACTCAAGAATTACAAGCCTGCTTAAAACTAAAAATTGCAGAAAATGTATAATTATGTGACCCACTGCAATTAAAGCTTTAAGGAACACATGGGATAATCAAAGACTTAAGAAGAAAATTACTGTAATCTCAGAATCTGCAGCAGGTATATTTGGTTAGTAGTGAGCTTACAGTGCAAAAACTAGGCCTGTATCTCTGCATGAATCCAGGAAAACAAAAACAAGAAAACCCAACCACAATGACACTGTACATGATTAAGCTGCATCAAAAATATCAATCATTCTTAGAAATTCAGTGTGACACTCTCCTAATTTAAAAGAGCCAGACAACCAATGTAGCAATTAAAAGTCTCAGTGGAGGCACGGAGTAAGCGGCATGTGCTTTTTTGATGCAAGCACATGCAATTTAGATCTTTTGTGCGTCTTACTACGCTGCCACGGTAAAAATAATGAATAGAACATAGCTTTTCATAAAGGCTTATTTGGTTCCAATAAAACACCAATTTCCTTTTGCTTAATATAGTTCAGCTGAGAGCAATATTATAAATCCTAAAAAATCTCACTATAAAGCAGAATTCCAGACCTTTTACATCTGGCTCTCAAATTCTGTTTTGAAAACAGGATTTTGAACACAAAGTTCAGAATATAAAAGATATTAAATAGTGGGAAAGGAAAACATGGACAGGCATTTAGTTCATGTTGGGGCATAATCCTCGTCTTCCCCCTAAGTACTAAAATGTAAAGGGAAACATATTTGGAAAACCACCGCTTGGATTGGTTGCAACCTGGCTTTTTGATTATTTGACTATTTGCATTGGGAAAAAACCAACTTTCACTTGCTGATTTTGTATTACTCTCATTTCCTGCCTGCTAACACTTAGATACTTTTTTCCACCTAAGAACAGTCAGCAGATAAAATATATTAACAAAACAGATGTTATTAGAAACAGTCAGTTTTCCTTTTTGCTGTCTCTTCAAAGACTTCAACTTGCCCTCCAACCTCTGATTTGTGTTTTGACATAATTTTTAACCTAATATAATTATTCTGACAAAGTCTCATGATTGTTAGGTAAGAAGGTGAAAATCTAACTGCTAAAAGCAGTTTTCTACCAACTTCAGTCGGCGAACTCATATGTCACAGAACTAATAAGGCACATGTAGGTGGAGAAATGACCTGGGTGAATTAGTGCATTCCTCCTTTGGGGTGAAGCTAGTCATGCACCCCTAAAGCTGTTTCAAGTAACAGCAGATTACCCAGCATAATGCAGAACTATTTCTGGAGGGACTTTGTAAGTGGCAAATAGCAAAGGCTACCCAAAACACAGCCAGGATTGAGAACGCTGTGCATTATGAATCATAGCTCAGCAGAGAAATTTCAGTGCCAAGAAATGTTTGGGTGTTTTTGGTACTCTGGATCACCACAGATGCAACAACACATCTGACAATGACTTGCGGAAAGGGTTCCATGTCCAGAACACTTTGCCACAGATTTCAGCTCAAGGCAGGTACATAGATCAATTGTGACTAGCAGTAAGCGATAGGGCTGTTTTTATAAAGTTTTGGAGAAAAACAGATCTAAGAAGATACTGCCATCATTTCAAGTAAAAATTCCTGGTCCCATTTCACTGGTTTCCTCAGACATGTTTAGGCCTCACTGTGACTCCTCTCTCAGGTGTGGAGCATGAGCTTCAGAGATACCACAGCTCTCGAGTCAGAGGCTGGGTAAGACATCTTTCCTTTTTCAATCTCAACAAAAACATCAGCAAACTCGAATGGAAGAAAATTAAAGAGGTGTCACTCCAACTCGAAAACCAGAAAGAAATGAAATACCCATTTCACATGTTGCAATATCAATTGCTTGTCTTCTACAGATATGCTTCCTCATGCTGTAGCATGCTGAACTCCAATCAGGGCACTCTCCCACTGCTTGCAAACATAGTTAGAATGAACAGAATGGAATGCTAATACATAACGGATGTTTCCTGCCAAGTTGTTGCAGGCACATTTATAAGGCTTTCCGCTTAAGAAACCAGTCTCTCAAAAGTCATACTCTGCTGCTCAGAAGACTCACATTCCAGCACTAATGTTTCAGAAAGGCCAGGATGCTCACTTAAGACAAACTATTGCAAGTGCTGACTGACTTCTGGTAATGGAAGGATTGCAGTACTTCTGACAACTTGCATACTACAGAACACATCCCTGGAACACGTACGTCACTGACAACGCAAGTTGGCTTTACATAGCACTGCTGGGAGGAAATACATCATCATGCAAAATGTAGAGCACTGAAATGCAACACAGATATACTTGAGTGGCTCTAAAGCCACCAAGGCTGTTATCAAGCTAACGAGCTAGTAAGTCAGCTCCATCAGGACTCTGAAAGGTCAAGTGACTGCACAGGGATAACTGAGTTCTTTTAAGACGTTTTCTTAAGCTTGAGCTCTACAACACCTTAAGAAAGGCCTATTGTTTCTTGAAGCAGTCCTGAAAATAGTACAGCTACATTTGCCAGTTTTTACTCTAGAGTGACAACCCAACCTGATTGAACTCACTTTTCACAGGCACAGCATTTTGTCACAGTTAACTCACATTCTGAATACAGTTGTCATGAGTAATCAAGAGTTGCCAGTAATTAACAGTCAAGAACTTGAACTGCAAGAATTCAGTAAGTAGTTGATACAACCACTATGATTTCCATCACTGCTACTAGTAGTCCACAAGCAAGGAAGTTAGTTAGCAAAAAAAGTTTTCCTTTTAAATTCTAGTTTAAAATCATGCAGACTAATTAAATGTGATTTCATTTCCGTGAATATTTTTGTTGCCTCCCCTTAGAACTGTGCACGTGCCAGAGCTCAAAGCCCAATTAAGAGAGGGGAAAAAAAGAGACTAGTAGGTTAAAATTCAAATTTCAAAATAGACTTCTTGACATAGCTTCTAGCATTATTAGATTGACAATAACTTTCGGACACATAAGCCCGCATCCTACAAACACCTGTATAACGTTACTCACATCAATAACCCTAACACTGAAAGTAACAGAATATGTCAAGCTAGTAGCCTTCTATAATTGTATACTTTTTTGGAATTGCAAACTCATCTGTACAATGAAACAAGATCATTCATTTCACTGTGATTCTCGTGTGTTAACAGTGATTTGGCTGCAAATAACCATAGCTGAGCATTTAAAATCCAACTAGAAATGCTACCAAAGATAGCTACTGGTGTTTTATTTTCTAATTGTTTTCTTTTGAAGTGCCACTCCTTTTCAGTAAATCTAATACTCACCTTTTGTTTTATAAGCCTCTTTTTAGGGAGCTATCCTTACCTTTGCTCCTTAATCATGATATAAATTAATTTGCATTTTTCATTACTGATATCACCCCTATCTTGAGGGAAACCTAGACCACATTGCGACTTCAGGGAAGAAGTAAAACAAACAAACAAAACCCACCCTCCCCCTAACCCTAGCCAAAACTATTACCACAGATGCGATCAAAGATATTGACTCTACTTACCCGCTCCTGTCCAGCTGTATCCCAAATTAGGAATTTATGCAACTCATTTTGATACTGTACAGTCTTGGTCATAAATGAGGCTCTGGAAAAAAAAAGTACAGTTTATGCTTTTCATAAAACAAATGCCAAAATATAAATGCCTTCTTAGAGTATTATTACCACGAACTTTTAATAAGGTTTATAGTTCAGAAAAGTGAAGTGCTTTCCTACACATAAAGTTGATTAAGATTTTCATACATGAAGGCTGAAATTACTAGGAGGCAAAGGGCTCTATTCAGAGGATGAAATTCAACTAACAGAAAAGAAGGAACAAGAATGCTAATTTATAGCATTTATTCTTCCTTAGCTTTTGATGAAAATAAAGATTGTACAGTCACAAAATAATAGGTGATCAGCCTCTTCACACCTCTCTTCCTAAATAGAAGAATAACCACAGCAAGTCACGTTGATGTATACAGGAAACGCTTTGAAGGAACGATCACATAAAAAGCCTGATATGTATCAGGCTGATACAGGGGCTTGATCCCCCTGTATTAGCTTTTTCTAGATCCCTGCACTAACATTCAGATAAATGCTGACAATTTAACTTTTGGGAATAAAGCAAGGGAGATTCCTATCAAATTTTGTAACTGTGAAGACAACACAGAAATCAATAACGAATAACTTGCTTGTTGTCTCCACTCTGTTTCAAAGTCTCATCTGTCACTACAAAGTCAATCTGCAGGGGCCCTTGCACTTCCAGAAGACAAACCAAAATTAAAATCCTCTTCCTACGCTCCAGTCTGCCCCTGCCACTCTCCCCGCAATTTCTAAATTTATCACAGCAAAGTAAAGTGCTTCTCTGCTTTACTTAGTCTGCTTTACACGAATCAGTGTATTTCCCAAAAGAACAGGAATTCAGAGACCTAATCTTTTAGAAGAGAGTGTGCTTTGCTATATCTGCTCCCTGTAGGTACTCGTTTTTACTCGAAAAGCTGCACACTGAACTCAGATTCTTGTAGACTAGGAACTCTGGATGCTATAACTTTTTTTTAGGCACATGAGATCATACATTACGATCTCGCATAGTTTTTGTGCACTTAATTTCCATTCCTTGAAAACACTGCAGATTCACAACTTGGTCTACTGTTGGTTTTGAACAGGATTCTGGAGGTGGTCTTTAGGGAGCTTCATACAGTAGACCAAACTTGGTGTAGATTCAAATCAGACAGCAAGTGTCTTTCAGTGCGTCCTGCAATACTAGATATTAGAGGCTGAGGCTGAACTTAAGTTTCTCCTGGATCTTAAATACAACCAGGGCATGCATTTTAATTATGCCAATGAAGATTTTCTAGTTAATAACTGGAGCCTTTTGACAAGTTTCAATCTTACAAGAGCATAAATCTGTATTTAAAATAAAGGGAACAATTATACAAAGCTTTCTGCTGTAAAGAGGTAAAGAGGTAAACCCCCCCCCCACTCCTTAAGCTCAGATGGTTTGCTAAGAAGCGTATCATTGTGCAAAGCTTTTACAAAATGAAATCAAAGGTTGCAGTGAAGAGATAAAGTCTAACGACAACGCATTTAAACACAGTTAACCGGATGCATTTTAACAATGGGTGAGGGAAAATAAAGTTTAAGGAATATCTGTCATAAAGCACAGCAGGGACTTCCACTTCCTTAAGACTGCATGCCAAGCATCAATTCTGAGTTTTCTGGCCAATATTGAAACGGTTTCCCAAATCATAAATCCTCACTGGAAGCATCTTATTTTATTTGGTTCCATAAACATTCTTCTCTAGCCAACTTCAATTGAGCAGTTTTGTTGCCCCAGTTTACATCAAAACATCCAAAATGGGAGCTGCCAATAGAGATTAATCTCCACTTTGATATCCTTTGAGAAGTGGAAGTTTCCATTGTGACAGATGCCAATAAAAAAGACCACATGAAGAAAAACCACTTTTTGTCAATAGAAGCCTCCAAAACATAACTATGCCTGACTTCTTCCAGTTTGAAAGCCTGTGGTAACCCTAATAAACTTCCTAGCTGCTTCTCCCAGCAAAGTTCAAGTGATTATAGTGCTTACAAGATAAACCTGAAAGTAGTTTTATGCTCATTCAAAGTTTCTTTTCAATGACATAATGAAAGACTGGGGAAGATTCTGCAACATCTAGACATATCTACTGGTCAGAAGTAGTAGAAACATCCACAGCATCTTGAAAGCACAAGAATAGGGCTTCTACAGCTGCTCATGTGGTGAATTTGAATCAAGAATTTATTATGAATAGTCATGACGACAAAGCGCAATCGCTCTGATATTCCAAGAGGAACACAAACAGGACAGAAAACAAGCTTATAACTTAAAATTCTCCCTCTAAGCTATAGCTAAGATATATAGATGTTTAGTCTATATCTCTTCAAGAAATCAAACTAGCTGCTCTAATCCCAACACTGCCATTGAATTCATGAGGATAAATTCTATTCTGCAGATTAGCAGAATTACTACAGTAGCTAAAACCCTTGAACAGTGCTCTAAATTATTGCATATTTGTCACAGATTCTCTAGGGGAGAAGGGTATGTGTGATCTCTTTCAGTTCCTGCCTCCAACAAACATATAGGTTGCTGTATTAACAACAACAAAAAACAAACAGAAAACTACAAGAAAAAAAAAAAGAGACTGTGGAGCAGAAGACAACAAGATTTTATGAAGTTGCTCATTCTAGTCTCAGCCTCTCTCCTTAAAAAAATAAACAAACTCACTATTCTGAGTTTTGCCCTGATATTAGGAAATGCTAATTTGCACAGAGAGAAGCATCATGGATGGTCTTCACTCTTAAACTTTGGATGATCTCACTGACATGCAGAGCCTAAGCCTTTAAGCACAGTTTTCTAGAATTCAGAATCTGAGGACAGAATTGAGAATGCTGCAGGTCGTTCTTATAGATTTAACCTAAGTAGTCTAGATGGTTGGCGACATGCATCTAAATATAGATTAGAGCATCCTACCCAAACAAATAGATGCTCCTCACATTTGCAAAATCTGTATCATCATATCCAGTCACCTACGGCTCAAGCAGACTTTAATTTTCTTTTTTGACAGGAGCTGCATGCAGGAACACAGTAACTAACTTTGGGCCACTGTGGCTAACGCCCAAATTAGCCAACTACTCAAGTCTTGGACATGCCGCTGCCCCCCCCACCCCAACCCACAATTTTTTCCTTTTTTATTATCTGGATTCTTAAGAGTGGAGACAGATGACGAGTTCTCAAACTTCTCAGTTAACACTACACGTAAGACATACAACTGGATCTTTCAATAGTGTCTACCCGAGCAAGGAATTCTACTTGCAGTCAGCATCACTGTGGGCATAGTAACTTTCTACACAACCTAAACCATGTTCAGAACTGCTCAAGTAGAGGAGCAGGCCACCATCCTCAACACCAGTTTTGTGTTCCTTCAGAAAAGAACCTCTACTGCAGCTAGTCTGACAGTAACTAAGAATGTTTAACCCTTGAAGATGTGACAAAATGATCTAGCAGTCTACCTTAAGGTCTACCTTTTAAGAGGGAAATTAAAACAAAAATTCCTACAGGATATCTTGCAATTCAATACCAGCATGTATACCACAACTTAAAATAAGAGAGAAGGAGAGAGAGAGAGAGAGAGAGAGATCAAGAAAAGCACATTTTTCAAAAGGAAAGGTTGAGACACAACTGATCTTTATCAGCAGGATCTTCTTCAGTCAAAACCATACTAAAGCCTGTGTAGCACCTGAGACAGGAAGCTACTTTGATACCAAGTAACACAAGCACGACATGAAATCTTGTTCTGCCGTGAGTAAAGAATTGCCTCTTTCTGAGCAAAGCAACCCTTAAGACCCTCAGCAAACAAAAAGGACAGCAAAGGACTGCTCTACCCCCATTCAATCCTTTTTAAGATTTAAGGTCAATAATATTGCTCCTCTGAGGCACATCTTTCAAATACCCTTAGCTTTGAGACAGACTGCATTAACAATTTCATTACTCAAGAGACTGCACATTACATATAGATATATAATGTTAAAATTAATTAATGAAGAGAACCACAACCTAAATCAGCCTATTAGCTACCTTTGAAAACCTAGAAGATTCCTGCTTCCCCTCGTCTTTTTTTTTTTTTTTTTTAAGAACTGAATACAAGAAGAATAGCAATCTCACAGCAATTAGACTCTAAAATTAAAGAACAGTGAATGAGAAAAGCATATTGTTCCCTTAACAGAAGGATCTACAGTAGAACTTATTCATAACCCTGGAGTCCTAATAGGATTTTGTTGGCTAAGATTAGCAATACAAAATGGGTCAAGAACTTACACATGAAAACGGAAGCTGCAGAAGCACAGAATATACTCCAAGGTTTCCTAAGGTAGTTCATCTGCTAAGAGCGCAGTTGTCTTCACTACCACATTTAGCTGCCACACATTGAGAAACCTTACGTGATCTTGTCAGGAGGAGCAAATATACATTCATATAACTTGGACTGAATTTTGAATAAGTCAGGTTTACTTTATTCGGTTTCTTACCCTATTGTTGGATTGATGTTGGGATCAAAGCTGTCTTCTACAAATCTCCACACAATACTTGATTTGCCCACACCAGTGTCCTGAGAAAGAACAGTCACAGTTGAAAGAGATGATAGTTGCTATAAACAGTTGATTATTTTTGTCCTCAGATCTTGTGATATGCTCTACATAGGTAACATGTTCCGGTAGAGAATCCCTGAGAAGTCAGAGATTCTGAAACATTTCAAGTACATTAATTTAGTGGAAAATCAAAGGTCTCTCCGATAAATTACAGTTTTCTAAACCAAATTGTTATAAAGAGATTTTTAAAAGATTGCACTCATGCTTCTTATGAATTCCTTGAGTGCTTTTTTTTTCTCCTCCACAGCTACAGATAAAGTGTATTTGAGCAAGAGATGTTTGAGCAGGGAAAGACCTCCTACCACATTTAGTAAAGCATACATGAACTGAATATGGTACTCCATCCCTGCAAGCCAACTGACTGTCTTAAATTATGCAAGCGTGATGCACGCATTTCAAACTCTGACTAATGCAGTCCCACCCTGCTTAATGAAAGGCCTGAAGTTTCTTCTGTGACATACCTGAAGCATGTCTCAAATACAACTCTGTGGGGTAACGAACGGTAGAAGAGAAAATGTAGTGAAAAATGCGAGCTTTAGAATAGCTCAAAATAAATCTAACACCCGATCACGTATGTACTCACACCACCAACGCAATGGTAAAAAGAAAATGCAAGAGACAGAAGGCATATTTAAGAGTGAAATAACATACTATTAGCACTGAAATGGCTCTTCATAGCACCTGGACATTTTACATGGCAATTTAGTTAACACAGCTGAAGATCAACTTTTCATTTTACATCTCCAGAGTTGTTAAGAGTTTTAAGGAAAAAGAACTACCAAATGATGCACGGAAAATAAAGTTTTGTTTCATTTTATGTATTTTCCTGCACCTTTTGAAAGGTGAACATTATAACAAATTCATGTACAGCATGCATGCTTCTTGTGTTTACCTTTTCAGGTCACTTTCCTCTCAAGACAAAGCTGTAGAGAAACGTATTATCTCAGTTCTGTGGTTTACAGTGTTTGCAAGTTTTCAACAAACAGAGCAAACCTTAAAGTGAAAAGCAGATGCATTTTTTTGGCCCCAGAGTTCAAGGATCAGTATTCCTAGGTGCTTACTCTCCTTCCCTCACGTGAGAGGGGATTTGCAGGTAGGGTGAACGCGGAGTCGACAGTAGCTAGCCATTACCCCCAAAGCTTTCATGACATTAAGAGGCACAGAAACACATACTTTTCTCTCTGAAGGGCAATGCGGCCACTGAAAGCAGAAAACAGTCCTGCTCGTCCTACTCTAAACAACGTAGGATTTAGATACAAACAGAAAAAACCCGACCTATTCAAAAAGCAGCTCTCTAAAGCTCTCAGACCAGATCAAGTCAACGCACGTTTTTTTCCCCCTGGATTTTTGAAACTACTTCACTTTGCTTGATGTCTCCTTTTCTTTCCCACTAGCTGCTACCTTTAGAGCACTTTCAAAACGCTGTTAAAAGCCTCTGAAACTCAACTCGGGTGGGAAGGGGGCCCCGAACGTCTTTAGAAACTCGAAGCCCCGAACAACCCGCCAAGAACAAGGAAGAGCACACTGAATGTTTTAGGTTTCCTTTTTTTTTTTTTTCCTTTTACTTCTTTCTCTCTCTCTTTAAGGGAGCCGAGAGACAAGAGGGGCGATGCTCATACCTGGAGAGGCCTCTGCGCGGCGGGGAAGGCCCCTCGGGCCGCCCCCGGCTGCCCGCGAAGGGCCCGGCCCCAGGCCC